TAATTGTACGAGCAAAAATTAAGGGTGAAGGGAGTCTATCCTGACGAGTTTTCTGTCAGTATTTTCCGCTAACTCATTACTTTCTCGTACAATTAATCATGTCCTTTTAATACTCCAACGATTTCCGGGAACTTTGCTGACTTTTTTCCTTGTTGAAGCTCGAAAAACGCTGTATTGATTCTCGTCTTTTGAATGAAAAACTCTCACTGTGGGCATGGATTGGGTGCTTCACTTTGCTCACTCCTTTCTTCTCAGGTATCCTCACGACTTTGAGAATAGATTAGAAGGGATTGGAAAAGTTGGCTCTTTTTATAAGAATTTCAACATTTTATCCCATTTTTCTTTGGACACAAGTAGGGGTTGCTATAACTTTTTTCCTGAGTACGACTTCTGTTATTACGGTAGAGCTTGCGGTTTCGGACGAGGTTGGAAAAGGAGCGTAAAAAATGGATTGGGGAGTCTCTCATTAAAATGTAGAGATTGAGCGCCCGTACTTAGCAGCTGTCCTGTATATACTGTGTATGTGTTACCCACTCTAAGTTTTCCAGACGAAGCAGAAGGGCGCGTACCTTCTGAGAAAGTTACCCTCCGCTATGAAATCCCCGCAAAATGTTTCCCACCGATAGGACTCGATTCATCGAGTCCCGCAGATTGCTGTACCTTGTAGTGTAGGGGATTTTCTTTCAAGTTACTCGCTTTTCTTGTGTAGCTGAGAACTGCTCATTAGTAAGCGGAGCTTATGACAGCCGCAATCGTAGGACAATCGCTCCGGAAAGAGGTACCTGGCTAGGTGAAGAGGTCCTGTCCAGCTGCAAAAGGGGCAGACTTCTGTGGTGTCGACTACGTCGATCATTTTCGTTTGCGGATTTAGCGAGCTCATTAAGTGTCGCGAACATCCGGTATAGGTCTCACACTTTGCGGAAGGGTGATGTTGGAATCCTGAGCCTACATCTTTGCAACTAGTATATGGCCTCATTTAGTTATCTATGACAGAGTTACATTCCGCAAAATTAATTGTAACTAAGTCAATAACTAGCAGGGTGGTCATACTTTATTTTCGAAGTACCATGCGTTGGCTTTTTTGCATGTGCCAGCTAGTTTCGTGCCCTTGAGAATGTGGACGGTTGCTAGATACTCTGAAGAACTCTGGGTCCTAGAGACCGACTTGGTACCGATATGCTGAATGGATGTGGCGTTGGAGCCTAAGCAAGCGTTTCGAATCAGCCAAGGTCATATTTCTGACCAGTTGTTTGGTTTCCAGAATCGATTTTCAGTTTAAAGAATGAGGAAATGTTGCTTGTAAAATCACCGGCAATTTCGTAAGCAATAAGCTCGCTGATTAGCTTTTGGAATTTTGTGGTGTGTTATTATCCTTCTCGAAAGTTGTGAAGGAAACTGTGCTCACTGATTCTATACAGGAGAAGCTGTGAAAGTTTCATAGGTTGATTTCTATTCGAAAAACGCTCAACAGTTGTGCAGAAGTCACTTCCTGACGCCGCATATGGAGGCCGAATCTGCAGTAGGGATCGATTTTACAACTGATTTGCAGACAGACCGCTTTTGGAATGCTTTGGCGAAATTGGCTGTGGCATCGCACTACTTTGATTCTTCAGCACTGTAGTAAGTTTTGGAGTTTTTTACTGAAATTCTGATTCCAACAGCAAGGTTTATCGATGAGCTTGCGCGTGCACTTTTTACGTCTCTGAAGATGTTCCAATAGGTCATTGATAGGATGAGCTAGCGTACTCAATTCAACACGCACCTTTCACTTTTCACATTTTTGCTTTTCTTGATACTTTGAATGCTACATGAAGGTTCAGTCTATAGATTCTAACATTAGGACGGTGAGAAACAATCCATGACGATTGAGTTCATTTTTAAGTTTACAACTCGTCCGGAAAGTTTTGACTGTACAGTTCTCAGCAAGTTGAGTAATGAAATAAGAAAACTGTTGTAGGGAGACGGCTCTTGCCGACTTATATGGGGCCTTATTAACTGTGCGCTGGGTTCAACTGTGAGTGTAAAGAAAGAGTAATTGGTGGTGCGATCCCTGGAGCAGACCATCGCGATTGGGGTTTGGCAAGTCCAACCTTCCTTCCTGTTTTGGCTACTTATTACAGTACACTGGTCCACTGGAGTGCTACAGCGGTCGCTTCGTGCACCGAGCTAGAGCAGATTATCTTGAAAAATTACCTGGAGTTTGCTAGCGGGGAGGTACTCTTCGGACAGATTGCCGCGCCATTCTCTCGCGCGCGGCAGGTAGTAGCAATATCGAGCGGTCTCCACCTTTCTTCACGTGGTCAAACCCATTCACCAAATGAAGACTTAGTTGTTCAAATGCATTTTCATTGTGGGATTTCGTCTTTATTTCCGGTCCATTGTCACGTCCAATGGGAAGGGCTACGAGCTTGGCGTACACGGAGTGGACCATGGTCAAATGGAGTCATCTTCGCAACCATAGCTGACCTTCATGGCTAGAAACCCGGTTTCACGAAATGTCAAGAGAACACAAGAGTTACTGCCAAAATCATAGCTTGGATTCCAAGGAGTTCCCTTAGTGTGACGTCGGTCCCTGACTGGCCCTTGGCACTCGTCTGTGACAAGTGAAGGCAACATAACTGTCAGTTCTACAAATCTAAAGAACGAAGCTGAATTCTTTGCCACAGGAACTCTACGAGCGAATTATCGTGAATCGGCATGAAATGTGTTTTAGTAGCCATGCATTTCGTGAGGTCGGATGATTGTAACATATGGCTTACGTTTGGTACATGGTTCTCCTTCTTCTCCGCAGTGATCTGTTCTCCCTTGTCGATGGCTTTTCACCAGTTTCATAGATGACGTCGGAGACTTCCCTTGAGCTCAGAAATAGCCTTGTTAACTAACTTATTTCATTCTTTGGTCGTTCCCATAATCGAGCAAAGTGGCCGTCGTAGATGGATTCGAGCAGTGTCGAAAGCACTGTGTCAATCGGACGTTGACGCTTTCATATGCTC